GCCGGTTGAGCTATAGGCGCCGAGCCTTAATACACGTTTCTAATGAATAATTGGCCATTAGTATCCACTGGCCAATTTATTCCAACAACCTGGTAGTGATCCAAATGTATGTGTTTCGCTTCTGTTGTTTCTCTTACTAGGAATCTTTACATTTCTATCTGAATTTAGACCCTTATAATCAGAGATACAAAACTGATTGATTAATCATAAATGTTGCTGTCAGCTGAACATATCTAAGTTTTTATCATATCCCTACCTCACCTTAGCCAAACCTGTCTAGACCTATCACTTGAATATGTCTATGTTCATGTGTTTTAACTCGATAATGTCTTATTGTGTTCATTTTTTTCTCCATCCTTTTGAAATTGGCCTCTCCACTTCTTTTTACTGAAATATCATTTCTATCCATAAGAGCCCAATTAAGTCAATCTTTTCTTAAAGTAGGATCCTTCAAGATCTACTTCAAGTAGATCCTACTTCAAGTAGTTATCCTTCAAGTAGGATAACCTTTCTCCTATAAATGGCTGATACTTAACACCTTATGTTACTAGATATCTTCTCTTTGCTTGCCTTGTCTTAACTAGACTGTAATCTCTCTGAGGGTTAAGAACATCTTATACTTCTCTTTATTCTCATTAATATCTATTAGCACAGTGCATTCAGCCTGGTTAATGGTCCTGTGCATACTCTACTACTAGAGATGAACATCAACGAAGCACTGACCTTCAAACCCAAATGAAGACCTAGAAGACTGTGGTTGTTCAACCTGATTTCTAGACCTAATATCTATAGCTGTTGTCATATACAGTTTCTAGACAAAGTTTTATCTATAAGACTTAATTGACAGGGCAAGGTAATCAATATCACAGCTTACAGTATAATTATACTACAAGTTGTACCTCTCAAAGTGCCTAAAAAGTGGCTCTGAGAGGAAAATATAAGATAATGGATATTAAGGTACCTCAGTATATCTAAGATAAGTTTTTTTTTGTTAAGAAAGTTAACAAGTCAAAAAACCCCATCTACTTACAACACACACAAGGCACAACATAAAAAATGAATTAAAATGAGAACTACTTAAACTAATCAAGTTAAAAAGCATAAATTCCAAATGTAAGATGGCAAAAAAGCCATGAGATATACATAGCATTTGTCATCATTCAAAAAGTATAAAATAGGAAACAAACTGAAGGTAGAAATTTTCTACTGAAAAAGCAAAGCAACCGAAAGCCTGTCAAGTGATAAAAAGAGCAAAGGCTACAGTGTCAGAAGAACTGGGTTCAGATCCCAGTTTAGAAACTATATAAAATTAATGAAATCACAAAATCCTTCTAGGCTTCAGAGCTCTTATCTATAAAATGGGGCTATTACTATCTGTCTGGCAGTGTTTCTGAAAGGATTAGAAATAATTTAGGGCAGTAAGAAGTGCAGACTTTGACCTCAGATGGGTCTGGGTTAGAACCAATTACACATACATTTTATAGCTTATTTAATGTAAGCCTCAGGTTTCTCATTTGTAAGATGGATATAAAACTACTTCCTCAGAGCTCTTGTGAGGATAAATAATGTTATAAATTATCTTTTATAATGTATACAAAGTCTTAAAAGTAAACCTAGTAAGTGCTCACTAAATTTTCCCTACTAGGTTTGTAAATATATTCACACGTAACCCACATACATCACCCTGCATGGTACCTGCTATATTATACTTAGTAAATGTCAACCATTAAAATTATTTCCTACCCTAAAAAATTTCAGAATGATTATTATAAATGTTAAACTGCAATTTTATACCCTGTTACACTTAATCTAGATGATTAAGCAGTAAGAAATTAATGGTAGTTACTTATTTATCCCATCGACAAGTTTTTCTGGATAATTCAGATAATGGAAGCAGGAGGAGTAAGTATAAATCAGTGATTTTTCACCTAGTGTGCTGTGAGAGGATCTTAGGCTTGCTGTGAACATTCTTAAAGATCACTAATTTAATTATTTTCAAAGGAAGTTCAAAGCACAGTAAGTATATTCTTTTTTTTACTCTTTTTTTGGGGGGTCAAAAAAAGTGTGCCCCAGAAGTTTATAGGTTCAAGTGTGTCGGAAGATAAAAAAAGTTGAAAAATACTGGTATAAATTGTTCACTAACAGAAAGCCCAGGAACAAGAAAACATTATGTGGGAGACATGTAAATTTATATTAGGCATATCAAGTATTCACTCTGTAAACTCTCGATCCATAAATTATATGCTTATTTGTTAACGCAAAGTCATTTACTATTTACTTTTCTGCCAAAGGCAAAGCCAAACAAAAATTTCTTTCCCAAACAACCTTTCAAGCCAATCTACCTGCAGCTGTTTCTGGCTCTAGACCAATTTCACTGGGTTACAGTAGAAGTGATTATAGGAGTTCTTCAAAGACACTTTGAAATTGAAAACATTAAGAAACTGTAGTAATTATTTCATATACCATTCTTCCATGAGGTTGGAGGTGCTGCACCCTGGTTCTTAGAAATCACTTATCTTACCAGTGATTTTTTTTTTTGTTTTTATTGTGTCCTGAAAAGGCATTATGCATGCACAGAGTAAAAAAAAGGAGGAGAGGTGATTCAATGTAGATAAAGGAATTGAATAAAAAGTCACCCTCTCACAGTAGAAGGAACCACTATTAAGTTTCTTATTTATTTTGCCTACTTCCAAACTAGATTCAGTAAAGTAAAAATGGGTCAGTTCTACCACCACCAACTGGGAAATTAATAAAATCTTAAGAATGTACAACTTTTGGGTTATGATGTATTGTCCTATTTGGAATACTTTACATCCAAACCAAAGCACATACCCATGCTTTCTAATAATGACCTGAGTATAGAACCCTTCTTTTGTTAAAGCAAACTGTGTCTCATAAGTAAATGATTCTACCTCCAATAAAACAGAAATCTATTTTAATACTAAGTACCAACAGACAATTTTGGTAAGCTTTTTATGCTGGAAACACACTGTTAACAAAGGAACACAATTCCATTTTTGAATCAGAGGTATGTTGTATCTCTGGAACCTTACTCATACAAAAGATGCTCAAGTAGTGAATACATTGTTATTAGCAATGAATACTTAATACTACAGCAATGTTGAAAATACTTGGCAATACAGCCTTCCTTTAAAAAAACAAAAAACAAAAAATAACCTCGTTAAACTTTCACCACCCATCCACTATTTCAGATTTTCAGAGTTTCCCTTAAATGAGGGATATACATACAATCTTATAAAATGAGAAATCACCATTTTTATGTCATTCTATTTATTAAGAACCTTGCATACAATTTCACATGCTCCCAACTTACCTTTTCATTTTTCTTGTCTATCTCTGGTGGCTGCTTTGCTGTTACACTTTGAGTAGCTCGGACAACTTCACCCTCAGCCACTTCGACAGTCTGTCCGTTCGGCTGCATATGCAACAAAACACATCATATTATCAAACTGCTTAGCAGATCAAACCAAAGATTTATATTCAGGAAAAAGAATATGCTACAACCAAAATCTATTTCTGATCTAAATTAAACAGAGTTTTGTGGGCCGGCGCCTACGGCATAGTGAGTAGGGCGCTGGCCCTATATACCGACGGTGGCAGGTTCGAACCCCGCTTTGGCCAAACTGCAACAAAAAATAGCTCGGCATTGTGGCAGGCGCCCGTAACCCCAGCTACTTGGGAGGCTGAGGCAAGAGAATCGCCTAAGCCCGAGAGCTGGAGGTTGCGGTGAGCTGTGATGCTACAGCACTCTACCAAGGGTGATAAAGTAAGACTCTGTCTCTTAAAAAAAAAAAAAAAAAGGGTTTTGTATAGCAATGTTATCTAAGACATAATGGTATTGCCCCTAACAATTTTTTATTTTTTTTTTAAGAGACAAAGTCTCAATTTGTTGCTCTCAGTAGAGTGCCATGGGCGTCACTGCAATCTCCAGCTCTTGGGCTAGGGTAATTCTCTTGCCTCAGCCTCCTGAGTAGCTGGGACTACAGGCACCTGATGCAACACCCACCTATTTTTGTTGCGGTTGCCACTGCTGTTTTAGCTGGTTGGGGCCGGGTTTGAACCCACCACCCTTGGTATATGGAGCTGGTGTCCTACTCACTGAGCCACAGGTGCTGCCAACAATTTTTTGTAACAGGAATATGATGAAGTCATAAACAAAATATGTCACAAATTTTCTAATCTTATCCAGGTAATAAATTGGTGGCAGTTAAAGGGATAACTAAACAGTATTTGCACTTTGACCACCAATTAGCTGTGTAATCTCACAACATTTCACTGATTATCTTTGAGATTTTATTTTATTTTTGAGAGAGTTTTTACTTTGTCACCCTTGGTAGAGTGCCATACTTCACAGTAACCTTAGACTCTTGGGCTCAAATGATCCTCTGCCTCAGCCTCCCAAGTAGTTGGGACACCTGTCACAACGCCAGGTTATTTTTAGAGACAGGGTCTAGTTCTAAGTTAGGCTGGTCTTGAACTCCTCATTCAGGCAGTCCACACACCTTGGCCTTACAGAGTGCTAGGATTATAGGTGTGAGCCACTGTGCCCAGCATAGAGACTTTGTTTTATTTTTAATATTTTTTAAATTTCAGAATATTATGGAGGTACATATATTTTGGTTACATGAATCACTTCTTTGAGCTTTATTTCTGTATCTATAAAATGATATGTACCATCTATCCAAAAGTCAGCAGAATTTTTCTCTATAGGGTCAGATAAAAAATATTTTTTAGGCTCAGCACCTGTGGATCAAGCAGCTAAGGCGCCAGCCACATACACCTGAGCTGAAGGGTTTGAATCCAGCCCGGGCCCGCCAAACAACAATAATGGCTGCAACCAAAAAATAGCTGGGCGTTGTGGCAGGCGCCTGTAGTCCCAGCTACTTGGGAGGGGGAGGCAGCAGAATCACTTGAGCCCAGGAATTGGAGGTTGCTGTGAGCTGTGATGCTACGGCACTCCACCCAGGGCAATAGCTTTGAGGCTCTGTCTCAAAAAAAAAATTTTTTTTTTTAGGTTTTGTTGGCTATATAAACTCTATTGCAACTATATAACTCCTCTATTTGAAGCACAAAAGCAGCCATACATTGTACACAAACAAATGTTAGATATTTTTCTGATGTTTTCTCTAATTCTATATTGACTCTGCTATTCTGGGATTAAGCAGCTTTTCCAACCCATTGCCACAGCCTAAAAAAGTTATCTCAGCTTTCTTAGTAGTCCTAAAACAAAATGATAGGACTGAGAGGTGTTCATGAGCAGACCCAAATCTGTGATTATCAAATCTGGCTTTTAATGAGATTTAAAAAAATCATTTCTGTGCCTCATCACCAGAAATGTATATAGATGGAGGAGTTTGAAGAATGTAGCCTATGTATCTGTATTGTAACCTGCTTTCTGTATCCTAACACTTCTTTCTGCTGTACATTCTCCTCAAATTCAATACAGTAACATTAGCCAATCAATATATTCATTCCAATGGCTTTATATTTCAGTTCTTGCACAACAGACTTCTGCCAGACTACTTACTCACTATAGCACAGCTATGTTCAAGAAAATGATATGAATGGTTAAAGTTTCTACAATGTGACTTTACCTGCATTTGTTAAAATGATCAGAGACACAAAGTTAGAAAAAGAGAGCATTATGTTCTAAAATTCAATTTGTAGGCTTTCCAAAGATTTGTAATAGAAAAAATCAAAACAAAAGCTGTCTTTTAACTGATTAAATTTCTAATTAATCCAATTCAATCTGCTGGGTCTTAAGAAACTTATTAAAGACAGACAGCTAATGCCAAAACTGGTTTCTTCACTTAATTTTTTTGAGATAGAGTCTCACTTTGTCACCCTTGGTAGAGTGCTGTGATGTCACAGCTCACAGCAACCTCAAACTCTTAGGCTTAAGAGATTGTCTTGCCTCAGCCTTCCTAGTAGCTGGAACTACAGGCACCTGCCACAACGCCCAGCTATTTTTAGAAATGGGGGTCTTGCTCTGGCTGAACATGTGAACTCAACCTCCCAGGCGTGAGCCACCAGCCAGGCCTTAGGTTTCCTCACTCTTTTTTTTTTTTTTT